CAAATCAATTATTTAAGACTATTAGTTTATAATTTTAAAAATATGTTAAAATAGGTATATGCATAAAATTAAAAAGGGATATGTTATTCTCCGCGGTTATGAGTTATGCTTGATGATATTGAATTACTATTATGTATCTGGTTATTAAAATGATATAGACAAAATGGTAAAATATTGTTTTCAAATGGATACTGAATGTAAAAAAGCAAAAGGAAACTAATGGCTAAACTGGCTAAATGAGATGGCTAAAATTCCCAGTATCACTATACCTCTTTTGACAAGGAACTCAAATATTTGCTAGCTGGTAGTGTATTTAACAAAGAGCGCAAAAAAAAAAAAATCTGTAATGGCAATATTTCACATAGAAAGAACCCTATGACATACATTATCTAGGAGTTTTTAAATGTTTTTTTTTTCTTAGTCTTTCATTTAAAATCTTAAGGAAAGCTGAGGGAAAAAGATAATGCATGAGAGGTATGGCAAACTCTAAAACACACATTTCCTACCAAACAAGTAAAACAAATGGACTTTTTTCTCTATTTGGTGAATTTTTCATTCAAACTTGCTTAACAAATGTTTTGCAGTTTTGTCTAGAATGCCCTTAAAATCACTTAGATTCCTGTATTATTTCATGAATTTTCCCAATTCTTAGAATAAATTTTATAACGTGTGGCTATTCAGTGGCAGGTGAATAAAACCTGAACACCCATACAAAACTCATTGTTGCTCATAAACTTTTCCTTTTGTTTACTGGAGATCATACCAGTTTATAAAGAACAGAAGAATTTTCACATCTACTGTACTGCCTTCGTTTTGCATTACTTATTTGGATACATAATACTAAGCATTAGGGCAAATTAAGAATATATTTCTCTGCCATAACGGAATCACCAAGATGAAGAGTTACAAAAGATAGTCAGTCTATTTATGCTTATAATCTATACATTTTCTCTTAATTTAATTTCTCTTAATTTTCCTAAATTTGTTTTTGAGTGGGGAGTTGGATTGAATTAGGACAATGTCGTTTCTAACAAAATTCAGAAATTGTTATATAATTTCACATAGTTTTGTAATTAAATATAAAGTGATTATAAGGCTTCCAAGCAACAAACAAGCAAGTCAAATACTGCAATTTTCCTGCTGTATAGATATTTTTATAGCATGGTATTCAAATATAGTATGTTACACTACTGAAGACTTATATGTGCAGGCCATAAATAATTAATAGTATTTCTGCTACTGAAGATTTTTAGTTACATAAATATATACAATGTCACTTGACATATTCCTACAATCTTTGCTAGATTGTATTATGTTGTTTATTCATAAAATCCTCACAAATTATGGCCAGAAAATTTAATGAATATCTAACACATAGATTATTATAAGCTACATTTGTATCATAGTAGTAAAGTAAAGTTATAGTAAAGTTATTAGAAATCTGGCACCAAATGCAAGTTATTAGAATTTGCAGCAGTCTTTAGACAAGCATTAGATAAGATTGATATTATGATCATTTTTTCTCACTGATACCAATTTTCTCAGATTTGTACAGTCCACATTCATAGAATTTGAAATAGCATCTTTATTTGCTTACTACCGTAATTAGAAACAATCAAACCTGCATTTTAGGAAAGGCAAGTTCTAGCCTACCTTGGTTGACCTGGACATCAGAATCTTGTTAGTGTCAGGACTGGAAATTACCAAGAAATACCAAGTCTATCAGCTAGCCTGAGAAGCTGAAAAAATATACTATATTGCTACCATGAAAACTGTGAATATATTCATGAAATTGCAAGGAGGTGGGCTCAGTCTGAGTAAGCTTTTATTTACATTTTGAAATATGCCAGAAACAAGCAATGTTTATCTTTTATATGCTTTTTAAATAACGCTAACTGAATATTCATCATTAATAAATACATCCAAATATGTATTATTTTGACACACTACAATTTAATGTAGATTACAACTCTAATTTCCAGAGTTGTAATTCTCATATCATCATTCAACCTTTGCTATGTGGTTTATCAACTATTTCTAAAACTTCCTAGCCATGTATCAGAATTATATTTCATTATTCTGTGTGATATTATAATTCTAAATTAAACTTTGATGAAAGTTCACAAATTCTTTAGGAAATGTAAAGAAAAATGATAAATAATTTCATTATTATTATTATTTTCAATTCAGAAAGCCAGAAAACTACCCCGACTTTGATGGGCTAGTACAAACTAAATGATTCACTGAGATAAAAGAAAATGAGACACTGAGTTGTCTCCATCTCCATGTAAAATAGAGAAAATGTGGACCAATATTATTGCATCTTACATAATCTGACCTTTATTAATTATAATTCTTGTTTCTTATTAAATAGCTATAGTTAAAAGTACGTTTAGAAAAACAAGGACAAACTACACTACGTTTTATTACAAAGAGCATACTGTGAAAATGCATCAGCTCATCATCACAGTAATCTCACCAGAGTGTCATCGGACGTCAGGAAGAAAAAATGCTAACTTAGATATCTTGGGATGCTTGCACAAACCTGGTCTCATCTCTCCTACCCTATCCCAAATAGCAGTCCTGAAAACTCTACTCTAACCATCATGAAGTAGACCTGCATTCTTCAGGAAGAATAGTGGAAGGGCACAAAAAATGGCAGACAGCCCACTACCCATATCAACCAGAGGGAACAGTAATATTGCCCCTGAAAAAAACCCTGTAGATTGGGAGCAGTAAGGAAGAATTTCCACAGCATGAGATCCAACAGTGGAAATCTTGCTGTCTCCCCTTCCCACCACCACCATGCAAAGAAACACTACAAACAGTTATTGCAGGGTTTCCTCTTGCTCCACAACAGGAGTTAACAGTTAATCAGCTTAGTTTCTCAAGGTCTGCAGACCCACAGGACACGGGGGCAGGCCAGTTTCAGATCAATGTGGCCCTCATGAGTGAAAGAAGCCCTAATGTCAACATTTATGAATGACAAAAACAGCTGCCAACATTTGATAATATGCAGTCCATTTTAAGCTGCTTGGCTTTTTCACTGATTGGATATTGAATTGGATATTGATATTGGATATATTCTGGTCCATTTCTTATATTTTCTGTTTCAACAGTATTATTACTTAACAAAGTTTGGAGGCAATATCAATACCCTTTTTTCTAGAATAAAACAGAATTTTTAACTTTTTTATTTAGCTGAAGTGATTTTCAATTAAAACTTGTTCTTTCCTCCTAAGAATTATCTTGCAAAACGACAGCTTGTTCAGGCTATATTCTGCATCACAAATACCACATTGGTTGAAAAGAAATAAACAATGTACTGCAAATTGCCACAGCAAGGAAAAGAGCAGTACAAAGCGAAGTGTAAAACTAGAGACCTTAGTATTTTCATCAGGCTCAGCCCTTAGGTAGTTCAAGAAGATACTTGCAGAGAAGCAGCGTCATCAGATGTTTGTGTAGAATACCTCATATGTCTCACTATTCACTTTGATGGCAGGGGGTTTCATGTGTAGTTTTTAGTTTCTTTGTGATTTTAAGAGTCTTTATCATCATTCGGAATCAGATAAGTCACTTTAAACAAAGCAAAGCAAAAATATCACTATTTATAGGACAGTACTTTGTTACATTGCACTTTCAGTGATGTCAAAGTATCTTTTCAGTAACTGAAGGAATTTTAAACTAACAAGGCAGCCAAGTGTACCAAGAACAAGGTAATAATAAAAAAGAACAATTCTAACGAATTTCTCATAATCGCACAAAATCAGAGCACTTTTCATCTCTATTGAGGAACAATATCAAAGTTTAAAATAATTGTTGATCCATATCTGACACTAGGTCTACCTATTTGTATGACAGTTGTTGATTTTTCTATGAAAAAGACAGATTGAAAAATAATGCGTACAGCAGAAGATAACCATTGGCATATATAGATGAGATTATTCTAAAATAAAGGTAATAACATTATCTTTCATTAAGTCTAAAAGCCAATTCAAACATTTAGCTTCCTTCCCTCTTTGAAACCATTTATAAAGAGAAACTCCAATATAATTAAATAAATACACTTATATCTAAATTTGCTGTACACATAGTCCTCAACTTATGACCACAATTGAGCCAAAATTTATGTTGCTAAGTGAGAAATTTGTTAAGTGAATTTTGCCCATTTTACGACTTTTCTTGCCATAGTTAAGTGAATCACTGTAGTTGTTAAAATTAGTAACATGGTTAAGTGAATCTTGTTTTCCTATTGACTTTCAGAAGATTGCAAAAGCTGATCACATGACCCGAGAACACTGGAAATGTCATAAATATGAGTCAGTTGTCAAGCATCCGAGGGTAAATCACATAACCATGGTGATGCTGCAATGGTCATAAGTGTGAAAAATGATCATAAGTAACTTTTTTCAGTGCTGCTGTAACTTTGAACGGTCACTAAACAAACTGTTATAAGTTGAGGACTATCTGTATAATAGTAAAATTACATATGTAACCATTCTGCATTATTGATATAAATATAATTTATAACCTTAAAAGTAAGTTTTCTATTCAACAGTTAGTATAGATGGGTAGAACAGTAGGCTGGGGGGGGGGGCGCCACAGAAGGGGACCGGTGAGGAGACGCAGGTGTCAATTCATGGAGGCCTGGTTAAGTGGGTGTGGGGTGTATGGGGCAGCTCCACCCAAACCCCCACTTTAGCTTGATTTTTAGGCTTGCCCCTCACTCCAAAACTGGGGTAGGGCTTATATTAGGCCCACCCCCAAAGATCAAGCTAGGGCTTATTTTCAGTGTAGGTCTACTTTCGGGAAAACGCGGTATATACTTTCCTCAATACAGTATTAGAAATTGTCTTCATTATTTCAGATTGCTTTATACTTTTGTTAATGAATAAGGGAACAATTCTCACACATCATTTATTCCACATTGTACAATATGTTATAAAGCAAAATAAAATAACTTTTGCATTAAGTATTTTCTTTCCAATACCAGAATCAATTTAGCAAACCCAGACAAGCTTGATTCATCAAATTAGCCTTTCTTATTACAAATGTCGTTCTATAAATGTGTTATTGTTCAAAAATATTAAAAAGTGACATGCTGCAACACAAAAATCAAATCTGATCATGTTATGTTAGCAGAAGTGAAACTTGATTACCATATTTGCCAGCGTATGACTTCCAGAAGCGCTAAATTCGGCGCCAAAGACAGGGGTCGTCTTACACGCCAAGTCGTCTTATATGCCGGAAATACTGGTAATTTCTGGCATATAAGATGACGTTCTAGGAATGTGGCTCGGCAACAAAGACGGGGGTCGTCTTATACGCCGGGTCGCTTAATACACCGGCATATACGGTAAGTGATAACAAAAGTGCCTTATTATTTCTGTAAGTCTCTATAGAAAGCTGAACAATTCACGGGACTAAATACAGTAAGGGAAAAAGTTTGCTTACAAGGATCCATATCTGCTCTCATATTTAGAGACAATGTTCTTGCATTTTCCCATTTCCTTCCGTAGTTCTGCAACTTCGGTCCTCAAGGCTGTGTTCTCTTTCTCCAGAAAAGCAGCTCGGATTGTGATCTGATTCTCTTTTAGGCGCCGAGCATCCCGAGATCGCTTGGCTGCCACATTATTTTTCTTCCGCCTTGTCCAATATTTTTCATCCTATGTGGAAACAATCAGATTGACAGTTTAGTATTTACCGGATATTTCATTGATTCTTGATCTATTATCTGATTTTTCTTATGACCAAATATGACTGGAGTGCTTGTTTGCAAGCTACTGCCCACAGTCATTGTTAACCATGCTCCAGATTAGGCTACCACAATGAAGTGAAGAGGGCTACATATAGAGATTACTTAGAAATGTGGTCCAGAATATTATGATGTAACAGATAATGGAAGCAATGGAATAGGAACTGACTAAAGATACTACTGTTGACCAGAACTAGTCAGGCAAAAATACACCAATTTTTAAATTAAAATTTTAAATTTTCTAACTACCTTTCACCTAATGGCAATTTTTGTTCATCTACATGAGAATTTTGATATGGCGTCACAGTGCTCTTAAAATCAATTTATAAATCAGATGAACTGAATTGATAAAAATCAGATTGTGCCATTATTTGATTATCTCACCTTTATTACTTTTTAAGTAAATCAAGACAGCAAACATTTCCAATGTGCTTCTCTCCTCCTATTTTTCTCACACCAACAACCCAGTGAGGTGGATTGGGCTGAGAAAGAGAAAGACTGGCCCAAAGTCATCCAGATGGCTTTCATTCCTAAAATGGGACTAGAACTTACATATCTGGTTTCCAAGCCAGCACTGTAACCACAACACCAAACTAGCTCTTGCCTTTTAATTCCATCAAGGATCTTTAGGAAGGTGAATTTAATTTCTAATTAATCTCTACTGCTGGTAAAATCTAGATATAACAAATTGAATACTCTCCTGAATTTGGGAAAGGAACAGTCACTTCCCTCAAAGAGGCTGGCTTTCATACCCATTCATTTAATAACTCTGGTGACATCTGCTTAGAATGGAAAGAAGAAAAGCAAAAGGAACAAGATGGACTTCTATAAATTTCTAAGCATGAAGTCCACATGTTTTTTCTCCATCTTCTCCACAATAAACATTCACTGAAACCCCAAAGCTTATTCAAGGAGGTAATACTCAGGGGAGAATCAGCTTGATGTAGTAATTTACAGTACTGGGTTAGAAACCGGGAGTCTGGTCCTGTCTTGGATATAAGCTCAACTAGGTGATTCTGGGTCATTCTGTCTCAGCCCGTGTAGGTGCTAAGAGTCAAAATAGACTTGAAGGTAAGTAGCTAGGTAGGTAGGTAAGTAAATAAATCTTAACTAGATTAACTAGGCTGACTGCATTGATTTTACTTGATGTGTGTGGGATTGTTGCCTTCCCTATATTTCTCTTTTCCCAATTCATTTTTATATCAACAGATTTGGCTTAATTAATATAAGGCAATTTTTCATTATAATCTTCCCTGTATACACTATATAGCTACATTTTGTGCTTCAGGTTGTATACAAGATTTGTAAATCTTCTATAGTTCTGGGAATGAAGATTTTTTTTTATTTTTCCAGACCCATCTTCCCCCCCACCCCCATTTTCTTAAAGCTGAACTGCAGGAGAAAATCCTGGATACAAAGACAAAGAATTCTTCAGAAAGATAGAGTAAGGGACAACAGGAAGTTCAGCCTGACTAGTTGCAGTTTATAATAATTATCTTTCACTGGGGAAACCTTGTAAAATGTTTTAAATTATCCTCCTTCTGGATTGCAACAATCTGAAACAAATGAAACAAAGTATCCTTTATTAAATCCTAACGATGTAATTAAATTATATTATGGGGACAAGTAAGATGATAATAAACTGCCATTCCTCAAGAAACTCACACTAAATCCACCAATTTTTTAAACAAATAATCTGCTAATTAGAAAGACTCCATTGTCGTGGGACACTCCAGTAGCACAGTTAAAAATGTACTTTGCAGCCAACAAACATGATTTCAAATACTTCTGAAATATGATCACTCATCTAAGCAATAACAGAACAAACACAATTACCTTTTGATTTTCTGGGACAAAGACTTTCTTGGCTTTTTTAATCATAGGCTGTGGTTTCAAGTCCTCTTCAGCAAACTTATGTTTTCTAGGATTAAAGAGCTCTCCTCCAGGCACACTGGACAGCACTAAATCAACAGGGTCAGGATTGAAATTCACATCAATCTCAACACAATCTGGATCAACAGGGCTGGGAGTCAATCTTTCATTATCTGGAGAGGATTCTGGAAAAAGGAAGATAAATTTAATAGTAAGCAGCATGAAGACGATAACTATGAAAAAACAGAAACATTAAAAGGAGCCCTTTATTGATAAAAACACATTATGTAGTGCAATACCAGTACCTAAAACTTTAGAAAGAATAATAGATATACAATATTAATAATTTTATGATAACCAACAGAAAGGAAATTAAAAGGAAAATAATATCCATTTTTTCACTTTCATGTCCAAAACCTAACTATCCAATAAAGTATGCATCATACTTTACATCAAAGGAAGGGAAACATATGTGGCTTTGTGACGAACTATATTCTAGCCATCTGAAAACATAATCAAAAATTACTGAAGAATACCTGCAGTTCTATCACAGTATTATGGTAAGTTCATAAACAAAATCCCAGAAATGTACAGTAATAAAAGCTATCATTTTTACTGAAGAAAGAACACTCACATAAAAAGGATACGACACTAGAAAGTCCTGTATTTAGTCTTGCTTTAAGACAATGGTATTAATTTTCAGAATTCTCATTTTCTCTATGTCCATTAAGAATATTGGGGGAAAGCAATTTTAAATGGCTCTCCAAATAAATATTGAAAATCTGATAAAAGATAAGTTACCTGGCATAGAAAAATATTCCAGGAATTAAAACTAAGAATTAACATCTGCACGGGACTATTCTCATACATATTCCCAAAGGTTTATCTTGCACCTTAGGAGCCTACACAGTTGAGGTGCTTTTTTTTCTGGATGAGAGAGGAAAGTAATGGTCCTCCAATAGAAATTCTTCAGGAAAGAAAGAAAAAATAATAAAAATGAAACCAAAAAGGACCAAAAAAGGAGGTCCACAGAAACTATTAAGAACTCTGAATATTCACAAATGTACTACTATTCAATAAGTTTTATGTCTAGAAAACAAAAGTGATGAGGTGAGAATATTGTTTAATAAAGGCAATGAAGTATAATTTTTAAGTCAAAATGGATTCTGGACAACTATAATCTGTCTATCCACTCACTACGAAATATTTTTGTTACTATACCTTTTGGACATTTGACTGAACATAGGGGAATTCAGATGTATGATAACATGGGAAACATTAGAACATGAGCAAAAACAATCATAACATTTCTGCACTTTTATCGGTAAATTCATATGCATTTTTATGTACATTTCTCTTTATATTTTCCAACATTTTTAAAATCAGTTTTCCCAAATAATACTTTTTGACCTAGCATAAGCATTTTTCTAGATTGTTCCAAATGAATATTTTTGAATGCAAATTTTGAATGCATGCTGCAAAATGAAATTGTATAGTGTGAATTATAACTACTAGCTAGTTTCCATATAACTTCAATAATGCAATTTCCACTGAAATGTAAACTGAGTATTCCTTTCTTAATAATGTATCACAAGTAAGAGAGAAGGAAACTGACAAAATGTTTTCCCCTCCTTCATCATTAAGTCTGAAACCCAGTGATAAATGCCTTTAATGTTAACAGCATATAAGGCAGCATATATTAGTACTAATTAAACAAGACAGATTTGACAATAGTTCATTTTACATTCTAAATTTATTTGAATTAAAATAACATATTTCCAGCACAAAGTAGCATACATAGTGCTACTCCTTTCATCTCGTTTACATATTAATAGAATCAGTAGTGTGAACCAGTGAAATATTATTTGTTTCTGCCCTGTAACTTGCTCTGAAATTATTTGTTGTTAGATTGTGTATTACTGAACTACCCATTTCTAAATTCAGGTTTTATTTTGCATGACAAGCAAATTGCTCATCCTAACCATTTAATTATTTTTCTGATCTCTGCATTGGAATTAAACTAATAACCCAATCACCACATAGGCAAACTTTTTTTGTACAGCATCCTTTTTTAACCCCTTAACACACCTGCATTTCTGGTAGACTCTGATAGATTGAAAACCACTGTGGAAGATGATGCAGGTGGAGTAGTAGCAACAGAAACAGTGGCAGGTTCTTTTCCTTCCAGTTCAGCCACAGGCAGGAGGGGATTCTGATTCAGATCCAGATGAGCAGGACTGGAAGGGATTCCATTTTCCAACAGGAATTCATCAAGATCCATATACTCCAGATGAAAAGATTCTCCATCATAAGGAATAGTTTTATCCCAAATGGGAGGCATGAGGGAGGCAGAAACTGCCATTGTACTTGCAGCTGCTGCTTCATCTTCCTCAAGTTTTTCCTTCTTCTCTTTATCTAGAAGAAAACAGAATGTGCTATTAGTCTTGTGCAGAACTGTATTTAACCATGAGTTTATCAGTCCTACATATGGTAACACTTAGCTGACCATGGCTGATCCCCTAAAAGCTAGTAGACTCTGTACTGCTGCCAAAACAATCTACATGGAGATTAGCCAATCTGAATTTGTTGAAGAAATTTGATCAATCACCTTTGAGTATATGAACCAACAGAAAATAAAGTTGAAGAGGTTTTCAACATTTTAAATGGCTCATTTAATATACAGCCCTTTCATACCCAAATAATATAATAATGCACTGAATATGTGATGAAATATCCATTTGCATTTCTAAGTATTTTAAGTATTTAAGTATTTTAAGACATATAAAAATACAAAGATGCATAAAAGATGCAAACCAATAGGTCAGTTTTCTGTTTCCTGAAAATTATCCCTCTGTGTTCAACTAATTGTATTCTTAGTTATGTAAATATAGGACTGTCTCAATAAAAAAATATTGCATATACTGGTTAAACAGAATAATTTTACTGCATTAATATATTATTGCAATTTTAGCACCAGAATTTAGTTCTTAATATTATAGCAATGTAAGATGCAAAACAAACCATAGATGTTAAGAAATTAATTCAAAAGAATATGAATTTCAAAAATGTAATCTTGTTTCAAATACATATACCAAAACAGAAATGACTAATAAGGCAAAACAACATTATATAGTCTTAAGTCCAGTTGCTTTGTATTCTTCAATCAATATGTAAAATCTTGAAGTTACATGGCTATTATGTTTTGAATATCAAGTGCACAATGCTGCTGTTTCTTTAGGAGGGGGGGATACAGATATCAGAGCTACTTTCAAATAAATGAATATTTAAAACAAAGATCTGATTATTCAAACTGAGGCACCAAGTGTTGAAAATTAAATCACTACTAACATTTGCTGCTGAATTTAGCTAATTTACTACTGAAATTGAAAGTCAAGTACTTTGGCCACCTAATGAGAAGGAAGGACTCACTGGAGAAGAGCCTAATGCTGGGAAAGATTGGCGGCAATAGAAGAACGGGATGACAAGAGAATGAGGTGGCTGGATGGAGTCACTGAAGCAGTAGGTGTGAGTTTAAATGGACTCCAGAGGATGGTAGAGGACAGGAAGGCCTGGAGGAATGTTTTCCGTGGAGTCGCGATGGGTCAGACACGACATCGCAACTAACAACAACTAACAACAACAACTATTTTCTTCTCTTATGCCACTGGTAAAAAAATGACTAATTCAGAATATTTAAAAAGAAAATATATAATGCAAAAGTCAGAAAAGCATTCATCTGACAGATAAGGTAAAGAGGTATATGACACTACACTACAGAATCAAATAACAGAAGGAAATCCCCTCCCAAACTAAACACAGAACATTTTTATCTAAATTATTTTAGATAGTTATGCCACATACAATTATCAGCAATCCCTCCGTGTGGCTTATTATGAAGCACTGAAAATAAATACATTCTTTCTAGTTCCCCCCCTTGGTACCAATAAACAACAACCCTTTGCATTCTCCTGAAGCTCCCCATTTGTGATTTCCCGAGTCCCCTTCTCAAAACTGGGAAGGGAAGAGCAGAATGTGCATGTGTGAGCCTTTCGCGCCCGTATTTTGCAATAGATGTGCAACAGACCGATCAGGAACATGAAATCCAACCGCTTCCCCGAAGGCAGAGTGCTCTGTGTGCTTCCACTACCCTTTCGGGCCGATCGTCCCTGTACACGGTTATCCCAAGGAAGTCCCGCTGTGTTAAATGGAAATTACTTTCAAGAAACCATTCAGACTCGCCGCCTTACGCGCTCAGAGCTTCAAAAACAGGTCCAGATATACGCAAATAAGCGACGGCTGCTGCAGATGCCGGCCGATGAACCGCTCCGCGGCAACCACGAAAAGCAACCCTGTGGGGCGCCCGCCAGACCACACGGCAAAATGGATTCGGCGTACCCGTCCGAACTGAGGCATTAGCCGCCGCCGCCGCCGCCGCCATTCCCCTTTGCTCTCCACTGCCTCCCTCCCGTCTACCGCGCATTTCCATCTGCAGAGGCCGAGTCTACCCCGAGACGCTCCTGCCACCCTCACCCAGGCGTGCGTCCCGCGGAGGGTTTTCCATCAGTTTCTTCAGCACCAAGGGAAAGGCGCCCGTCAGGCCCCGTTCTTGCTGCACGGCTCCCGCAGTCCCCGCTGCCGCTGCTACCTCCTGAGGTGCGGCACGGCTGGGCATGCTATTGATGTGCCGGGGCCGGCCGGCGGAGCTCAAGCCCCACTGGAGGCCCAGAGGGAAGAAAGACGCGAGAAACGACGCCAGCGGAGCGGACGCCGCGGAAAATAAAAAAAATAATTAAATCTATCGTTGTCCCTCAAAGTTAACGAGAGCGCATGCGCCACTTCCCTCGGCGCGCCTCCGAGGGCCCTGGAGCTACTTATTATTCATGACCGCCTTTAAGTTGCTCGTGCTGTGATTGGCTTGCCCTGCCGAAAGACGGAACTGGCTTGATACCGCAGCCACTCCGCGAAAAGCTGGAACGCAGGCCTGGCACGTGCCGCGGAGCGAGGAGCATTTCGCGAGAATGTGGGCACCGCCCCTTCTCTTCTGCTGGCGTCAGTAGCCCCGCCGAGACTCCCATCGTTTAAAACACGACGAGCGCCTCCAGTGCTAAACCTCAAATGACCCCAGAGGATGCGCAAACAATCGGAGAAACAGTGGCAAGGCGGAGCTTTTGAGCTGCAAGGAACTCGGGCGGGGCGAAGTAGAAAAGGAGCATAAGGCTTTCACACCTAAGCTGGCGTCAGGACGCTCAGAGGGCCTCCGCTTCAAAACGAAAGCGAGGCGCGGAAAAGACCGGGGTGAAGGGGAGAGGAAGGCGGTGACTGAGTAGGCTACTCCAACCTGTGGCCCGCCAATTGGGTTCTACTACATTTCCTCATCTGGAGAGGTCAAAAGCCGTGGCCGGCTGACATTACGGGAGCCCATTCAAAAATCTGGAGGAGCACAGGTTGAGGAAGCGTCACGCTCGCAAATGTATGCCGTATATTCATTCAGGCAATAAACTGCTCAGGACAGGGCAGTCAGTGGCCTGATCATAGGTCCAGGGAAGATGCTATCCCTTTGATGACATCAAAATAATGCTCTGGTGGCAGCCCAACTGACTTAGCAAATGGGCTGGGAGGGAAAACACAATCTTGTCCTTCAAACAGCAAAAATTTCTTGGGTAGCTGTACACCCTTGAGGCTAAACCTTCAAAAAATAGTTAAAATAGCAAAATACAAAAGAAAAGGCTCCATATATGCAGTCACACCAGTTATCCTTTCATTGATTGCTCTTGTCTTCCTTATTGGACATTTTGAAAATAATTTTCTTGGGAAGTCAATTTTGCTGATTGATAAAATGTTGCAGACATATTAACTCATTGACATTTGATTCTTCAAAATGCTCTCTTAAATATTAAACATTACAGGTCACATCAAGTAATTGATCTTAGGGAAAAAGTTAATCAGGATCAGATCTGGCTAGTCTTTGGAGAGCAAGTCACCAGAAAATTCTCATATGATAAACTAGACTGGGAACTTGAAAAAACATCCCAAAAGAAAATAATTACAAACTATTTCCACGTCATTGCAAGTAAACTATGTGTGAACACTAGGAATTCAATTCGGCTTACGGAAATTTTTAACATTAAATGTTACAAGTGAGCATGACGTACTATTACTTTGGCACATGGGTTAGTTTGATTGGCATAAGTATTCATATCATTCTTCTCTTACCCTACTTCAATAATTCAACAGGTATTAGTAAAGGTTCTAAAGAAACAGAGGCAAAGACTAGTTTCCTAGAATATACTAGTCAAAGTCAGAACAAAATAATCTATACAAATTCCTTCTGATCATTAATTCCAACACTAGCTGCTTCCTTATTTTTGAAAAATTCAACTGGATATTGCATATTCAGTCCCACTGAAAATATTTTCTTGTTTTTGTTGTTGTTAATTGCGAAGTCGTGTCCGATCCATCGCGACCCCATGGACAATCTTCCTCCAGGTCTTCCTGTCCTCTACCATCTTCTAGAGTCCATTTAAGTTCACACCTACTGCTTCAGTGACTCCATCCAGCCATCTCATTCTCTGTCGTCCCCTTCTTCTATTGCCCTCAATCTTTCCCAGCATTAGGCCCTTCTCCAATGAGTCCTTCTCATTAGGTGGCCAAAGTATTTGAGTTTCAACTTCAGGATCTGGCCTTCTAAAGAGCAGTCGGGGTTGATCTCTTCTAGGACTGACCGGTTTGAACGCCTTGCAGTCCAAGGGACTCGCAGGAGTCTTCTCCAGCACCATAGTTCAAAGGCCTCAATTCTTTGGTGCTCAGCCTTTCTTATGGTCCAACTTTCACAGCCATACATTGCAACTGGGAAAACCATGGCCTGGACTATACGCACTTTTGTTGGCAGGGTGATGTCTCTGCTTTTTAGTATGCTGTCTAGATTTGCCATAGCTTTCCTCCCCAGGAGCAAGCGTCTTTTAATTTCTTGGCTGCAGTCCCCATCTGAGGTGATCTTGGAGCCCAGAAAAATAAAATCTGTCACTACCTCCATTTCTTCCCCATCTATTTGCCAGGAATTGAGAGGGCCGGATGCCATGATTTTGGTTTTCTTAATGTTGAGTTTCAAGCCAACTTTTGCACTCTCCTTCTTCACCCGCATCAAGAGGCTCTTTAGTTCCTCTTCACTTTCTGCCAATAGCGTGGTATCATCTGCACATCTTAGGTTGTTGATATTTCTCCCGGCAATCTTAATTCCAACTTTTGTTTCATCTAGCCCTGCCTTTCTCATGATGTGCTCTGCATATAAGTTAAATAGGCAGGGCGACAGTATACAGCCTTGCCGGACTCCTTTTCCAATTTTGAACCCATCAGTGGTTCCGTGTCCAGTTCACTGTTGCTTCTTGACCCGCACATAGGTTTCTCAAGAGGCAAATAAGATGGTCTGGTATTCCCATCTCTTTAAGAACTTGCCACAATTTGTTGTGATCCACACAATCAAAGGCTTTTGCATAGTCAATGAAGCAGAAGTAGATGTTTTTCTGGAACTCCCTAGCTTTCTCCATGATCCAGCGTATGTTGGCAATTTGATCTCTAGTTCCTCTGCCTCTTCGAAATCCTGCCTGTACTTCTGGTAGTTCTCGATCCACATACTGCTGGAGTCTAGCTTGTAGGATTTTAAGCATAACTTTACTAGCATGTGAAATGAGTGCAATGGTGCGATAGTTTGAACATTCTTTGGCATTGCCTTTCTTTGGAATTGGAATGTAAACTGACCTTTTCCAATCCTGTGGCCACTGTTGAGTTTTCCAAATTTGCTGGCAAATTGAGTGTAGCACTTTTACTGCATCGTCTTTTAAGATTTTGAATAGCTCAGCTGGAATACTGTCACCTCCACTAGCTTTGTTGTTGCTCAGATTTTCTAAGGCCCATTTCACTTCACATTCTAGGATGTCTGGTTCGAGGTCAGTGACCATCTCATTGTGGTTATCTGGGATGTTAAGCTCATTCTTGTATAGTTCTTCTGTGTAGTTTTGCCATCTCTTCTTAATCTCTTCTGCCTCTGTTAGGTCTCTGCCATTTTGGTCCTTTATCATGCCCATCTTTGCATGAAACATTCCCTTCATATCTCCAATTTTCTTGAAGAGATCTCTGGTCCTCCCTATTCTGTTGTTTTCTTCTATTTCTTTGCACTGTTCATTTAAGAAGGCATTCTTATCTCTTCTAGCTACTCTCTGGAATTCTGCATTCAATTGGGTGTATCTTTCTCTTTCTCCTTTGCCTTTCGCTTCCCTTCTTTCCTCAGCTATTTGCAAAGCTTCCTCAGACAGCCATTTTGCTTTCTTGCATTTCTTTTTCTTTGGGATGGTTTTAGTTGCTACCTCTTGTACAATGTTGCGAACTTCCATCCATAGTTCTTCAGGCACTCTGTCTATCAGATCTAATTCCTTAAATCTATTTGTCACCTCTACTGTATATTCATTAGGAATATGATTTAGTTCATACCTGAGTGGCCTAGTGCTTTTCCCTACTTTTTTAATTTAAGCCTAAATTTTGCAACGAGAAGCTCATGATCTGAGCCACAGTCAGCTCCTGGTCTTGTTTTTACTGACTGTATAGAGCTTCTCCATCTTTGGCTGCAGAGCACATAGTCAATCTGATTTCTATGTTGACCGTCTGGTGATGTCCATGTGTAGAGCCGTCTCTTGGGTTGTTGGAAAAGAGTGTTTGTTATGACCATCGTATTCTCTTGACAAAATTCTATTAGCCTGTGCCCTGCTTCATTTTGTACTCCAAGGCCAAACTTGCCTGTTATTCCGGTTATCTTTTGGCTTCCTACCTTAGCATTCCAATCCCCCATGATGATAAGGACATCATTTTTTGGTGTTAATTCTATAAGGTGCTGTAGGGCTTCATAGAACCGGTCAATTTCATCCTCTTCAGCACCAGTGGTTGGGGCATAGATTTGGATTATTGTGATATTGAATGGTTTGCCTTGGATTCAAATTGAGACCATTCTGTCATTTTGCGGATTGTATCCCAGTATTGCTTTTCCTATTCTTTTATTGACTATGAAGGCTACTCCATTTCTTCTGAGGGATTCTTGCCCACAGTAGTATACCTGATGGTCATCTGAGTTAAATTCACCCATTCCTGTCCATTTTAGTTCACTGATTCCTAAGATGTCGATGTTCAGTCTTGTCATCTCTTTTTTGACTACGTCTAGCTTGCCTTGATTCATGGATCTTACATTCCAGGTTCCTATGGAGAAAAAATCTTTACAGCATCGGACTTTCCTTTCACCACCAGATATATCCACAGCTGAGCGTCCTTTCGGCTTTGGCCCAGTCGCTTCATTCTTTCTGGCGCTACTAGTACTAGCCCTCTGCTCTTCCCCAGTAGCATATTGGACACCTTCCGACCTGAGGGGCTCATCTTCCAGCGTCATATCTTTTTTCCTTTTAGTACTGTCCATGGGGTTTTCATGGCAAAGATACTGGAGTGGTTTGCCATTTCCTTCTCCAGTGGATCACATTTTGTCAGAACTCTCTGCTATGACCTGTCCGTCTTGGGTGGCCCTGCACGGCATAGCTTATAGCTTCATTGAGTTACACAAGCCCCTTCACCACGACAAGGCAGTAATCCATAAAGGGGATTTTCTTGTTAGATAACAATAGTAACAACACTTCCAACAATAATAATTTATTAAACTTATCTAGAGCCTATGTAAACAAAATGGAACTATCTCTGAGAAAGAAATTTGGAGCTCAGAATAATACAATTAGTCATAATAAGATTTCTATACTCTTAATATATTCTCAGCACAAAAAATGACATGATAATCAAAGCATATTTATAGCCTATATCCTCCAAGTTACTTTAACCAGACTATTT